AAAGGTTGCAGCCGCACTCATATATATATATATATATATATATTCCGGATTAACATCAAGTTCTGCATTGACTTAAGCATGCCTGTCTATCGGTCTGTCTAATGTCTATTGAAAAATTCCATTAGCTGCAATCGTGACGCTATGCTTTCAAGTTTCGCTGAAATATTGAAATTTCTTATACGAAAATTGATATTGCAAACGGGCCAAATCGGTTGGAGAACTCGCGTACGTAAACTGAGAATATCTCTGCTTTCGAAAAGAAATAAAAAAAAAATTGATATTTTGCTCATTACCCACAAACAGAAGAGAAGATAAATCTATAAAAGTTTGAAGGTATGTTCTATGGACAAAGCTATAGACCTAGTCTAACTAATATTATTGCATTGTATATCAAAACTTCATTTCTTTGTGATAATCTTTGTAGCATACCGAAGCGAGCTTCACGCCAACCCCCTTAAGGTATATCTTATACATTCCCCACCAATGTCATATTCGGAATACATTTAAGCGTGCCCGCTTATTCGCCTGGCAATCTGCTTATTTGCCCAACTGCATAATATCTGAGGTACGCGTTTTCCTTTTCGCACAAATGAAGAGATCGCCTACAAATTTGCAAAAGAATTTACAAATTATACCAAAGGTCGCGACTACAATTCAACAAATACTGAGAAAACTTATAGATATTTCGAGATTTATCCCACAAAACTTTATATAAATCAGCCACACCCATCCATCCAATACGGTTAAGTATGAAAATTCAGTTTTTCTCTTTCTAAGAAATTCAATCACAGCCGAATACAATTCTCCCACTTGTTATTACTTGTAATCGTATTAATCAGCCGACAATCATTATTCTCAACAGGAATTTTAGCCCAGAATAACAATTTGGATTATTTGTAAATTCATTCATATCATTTGCGGGAATCTGGTTTATATTTAAAACGGTTTCGAACTTTTATGCGTGCGCTAAGAAAAAAAACTTCACTTACCTAGCGATTTCTAATTTCACTAATACAGGAACAAGTGCTTTTGGAAAGTCTTTGAGTTCATTTAAAAACTTTTCCAAGCAAAAAAATATATGCGTAACTTCTTAAAGACCATTGGCCATTAAGCAAATATGAAGCAAATAGTAATTCGAAAATTTTCAGCTCGACAACCAAGAATTCAAAAGTTTCACATGAGTAGTAATGCATTTTCTTGATGTTATCTCCGCAACGCATAAAGTGCCAAATGTGCGATTCTGTCCTCTGTCGAGAGCGATATAATATCTTTAAGGAAGGAGGCTGAAGGCGAAGGACCCCAAAGTAGTAACAACTTCATTGTAAAAAGCCAGCATGCACTTAACCTCTTTCAAAAGCTTGGAGATCGAAACACAATTCTTGGAAGCGGCAAGCAGCTTAACTTCAAGAATTTTCATTCATTGTCATTCGAAATTTCTGTAACCTAAGTAGAAATATGTAGCATATTTTTCTTTGCCTTTTCTTTTTTGATCGAAATCTATTAAATTTTCCATCCGCATATTCACTATGTCACTCAGAAATCATTATTTCTAAAAAGTCCTACTATACGCATATAAATTAAATTTTTTTTTTTTTCTTTGATCAAATTTTTACCAATTGCACTGCTTACCCTTAAGTTTCGTCATTTAAAGACGCCTTTTCATATATTCTTTAACACTTGAATAAAAGCTTAATAACACCGAGAATCTTATTAATTCGTTGCCTTATCTTTTCCAGATTAAAAAAATTTTGTAAAAACTACAGTTTTTTTTAGCTTAATTGCTTTACTTGCAATACCGCACGACAAACAAGTTGAGAAGCGCGACCCGGGTTCAATAATCGCAGTGGTGGGCCATATTTTAGTTACGAATATTCTACAGACCTAACCAGATCGAGTGCTCAGTGGGTAAGTGCATAGTACTTATTAAAGGCTGCGGTCACTATTACTCTTTCCTTACTTCTTACTGACCATCATCATCTCGCGTTACGTCTCCCTATGTTATTGTTTATTTCTTTACACTTTATTTTTTCTTTACTTAAATTATTTTCATTTTTTATTTAATATATTTAAACTTATATCTGATTGATTGTACGGCCTTATATTATATCATTGTATGGGTATTTACTTAAGAAATGTATCGGGAAATAAACTCTGATTTCGGGCGATGGAATAAGTCGAATTTCTGTTTTTTTTTTTTTTTTTTTGGCTGTAAACGCAAACTTAACCAGTTCAACCACTGATGCCGCATAGGTATAAAGATAGACATAGAGATAGATCAGTAGAGAAACAAGGCTTAACGCTAATCAAGATATACTTTAAAAGGTTTCCAATCAATATTGCTTCTGAGGGTTACAAACTGATGAAATAATATATCATATCGACTCCGGTATTATTCAATGGGCAGCATTAAAAACACAGATGTTCCAGTACGGAGAGAAGAGAGACAGCATTAACAAGCAATGAACAGTATGTACAGTCATAAGTGAGTCATCCAGCAATAAAATGTTCAATAGCGTAAGAAAATGTTGCGAAAAAAAGGTGAAGAATATAAAAAAAATGCAATCAAGAGAATGTATTTATATAAGCTTAAAAGTCATGAGAGAGAGAGAGAGAAACGGCCACACTAAATATCAGATACAGGTTCCCCTCGATTAATACGCTTAATTCGCGTCGTGTTTTATCCAAACCTTTTTATTTATTTATTTATTTTCTTTTCTTTTGTTAAAACTTTCATATGGTATAACATAATGTCCTCTAAAGGTACAAAATATATGAAAAAAATTGTTTACTGCGTTGTATGGAAACATTAGTCGCATTGTATCAAAATCATGTTATAATGTAAATCAACGCAATGCATATCGCGTAACAAAATCCTAAATTGTAAAATTTTTTTAAAATTCCTTTTTCGTAAGTTCACGTAAAGTTGTCATTAAAAAAAAAAACAAAAAATTTTGAATTCAATATTACGATGAAGTAAAAGAATTAAAAAAAAAGATATATAAAAAATAATGATGACAATTACAAAATTAATTTTCATCAAAAATTACAGCTAATCTATTTTCTTTTTTTTTTCTCAAAGTTGATTGAAATCTTAAACAAGCGCACCGTGTTAAGCGAGGGACGCCTGCACTCAATCGATCATTCAGTTCAAACACGGAGCATAATGCTTAATAATATTAAAACTACTCTTAAAAGAAGAACAACACTGTCGGATATCGAACAACACTTCAGGTTAAACGAAAGGAGAGGTTAGAAAGAAAAAGCAAGAAACAGATAAATTTTTTAGAAAGAATGACGCTATTTCTTATTCTCTCTCTCTCCTTCTCACTCCCACTCTCTTTCTCTCTCTCTCTCTCTCTCTCTCTCTCTCTCTCTCTCTCTCTCTCTCCCTGTCTGGTTTTCTATCTAGTACTCTTTATCTTCGGCTCTTTAGACAACGTATAACAGAGATTCTCAATTGATTTACAAAAAGAACCCACACACTAAAAATATAATTTCAGATAAAGATCATAACACCAAATAACAAATGTTCCCGTTATTTATTTTATATATATTTTTTGTCTTTTTATGCCCATACCGAAGGATGACGAATATACTTCAACTTGTCAAAACGAGTGCAACGTTCAGAAGGAATTGTCAGAAACCTTACAAAATGTATATAATCTTGACCAACATCAAATTCTGAATGGATTTAAGCACGTCCGTCGATCAAACTGTCTGTCCATCTGAAAAATGTCTATTGCAAACATTCTTCTTCTGATAGCAAAAATCAAGCTATGGACTTCAAATTTAGCAGAGAAATTGGAAGTTATTGCACCCAGGCTAGTACTGAAAATGAACGAAATCGGTCGTAGAACACGTCCACAGTAAACTAAGAATACTTCCGTTTTTCAAAAGGAATCGAAAATCGTTTTTTTACCGCTTAATTATAAACTGCAGCAGATAAAAAGTGACTACGCCTACCCAATATTATAGTGTATCATAGTTTAATTTTTTTTTTGAAAGCAGACTTGAAAATTTCTACAAACTATATAAATCCTTAGCTTCAAATTCGGAGTGCACCCAAGCATGTCCGTCTGTTCATCTGTCCATCTGTCTGTCTACGCAACGGTATAGTATCTGTGGTAAACATTTTCCTGCTCGTAAAAATGAAGACATTGCGTACAAACTTGCAAAAGAATTTGGAAATGATTCAAGACACACTCTTACGTAATCCACACTCCTATGGGAAAAAAAATGTGAACAACTTTGCTTTCGGTGTTGTCTGCTTATTACTCATAAAATACAACACATACCCCGTATAAATTTCCACTTTTATTCTGAAAATAGAAAAATTCAGCCACGCCTACTCATTATTATAGAAAATGAAATTCTAGTTTTTTTTTCTAAATTATGAAAATGACCCAAACTTTTCAAAAAGTACGCTTTCAACACTCACACGCTTATATAATAAAAACAGTGAACACTTTTGCTCTCTTCGTTTCTTGCTCGTTGCTCATGGACTACAACAGAGACACAAGATATAAGTTTTCACAAAATTATTTTAGAAAAATAGTGTAACAGTAATGGGTCTAAAAAAATTCGCGCACAACCGAATACACTTTTCTCATTCTTATTAATGTTTAAAGACCTATTAAGCCACATCTGTTTAAATACAAGTGCAATAATAACAACGTTTGAATAGCTTAACGAAGTCCATAACAGCAACATACTTAGAATGGTCTTAAGTTATGGAAAGACGTTCTAAAAAAGAAGAACAAAACTTCCACTATTCACTTTAACTTTATTCTTGATATTCATATAAGTAAGTAAATAACTGAAACAATTATGTTAAGCGTGAAAGGTAGAACAAAATTAAAAGTTGATTCAATATATATGGATCGAGGGCGGTGTCTTGTCATAACTCTTATAATGTAATTTCATACAAAGTGCATTCAATTGAAATAGTTTGAGCAACACTGGTATCAAGTTTTTAATAAATATTTTGGATTTAATTTTTTTTGATTTTTTTTTTTTTTTTTTTAGTTCCAGCAGAGATTTCAAACTGTTTGGTTGCGCTTGAGTATCGTTGTAATTGTAATTGTATCGGTTAGATACCAAAGCAAAACTGAAACTTGCACGGAATTACTCATTTTGTTCATAAAGACAGATTAATTAAAATAATACAATATCATTATATAAAAAAATATATAGACATATATGTACTTGAAGTATTTGAGTTAACATATTTTTGAAGAAAAAAAAAAATAATAAATTAAAAAATAAATTATACACTTTAAAATATGCAAGCTATTAAGTGTGTGGTGGTTGGCGATGGTGCCGTGGGTAAAACATGTTTACTAATCAGTTACACAACCAATGCGTTCCCTGGAGAATATATACCAACAGTATTTGATAACTATTCAGCTAATGTTATGGTTGATGCTAAACCAATTAATTTGGGTCTTTGGGATACGGCCGGCCAAGAGGATTACGATCGTTTGAGACCTTTGTCTTATCCCCAAACTGATGTATTTCTAATTTGCTTTTCTTTGGTAAATCCAGCTTCATTTGAGAATGTACGGGCTAAATGGTATCCTGAAGTACGTCATCACTGTCCTAATGTGCCAATCATTCTAGTGGGTACAAAGTTAGATTTACGCGACGATAAGGCGACCATAGAAAAGTTGAAAGATAAAAAACTAACACCCATTACATATCCACAAGGCTTAGCCATGGCGAAAGAGATCGGTGCTGTCAAATATTTAGAATGTTCAGCCCTAACGCAAAAAGGGCTTAAAACTGTCTTCGATGAGGCCATACGTTCCGTATTATGCCCAGTTATGCGTGTCAAGAGATCACGTAAATGTATATTATTGTAAATTATTTATAAGTTGTGTGTGTGTGTGTGTAAGAAAATTTATTATGCAAATAAAAAAAACTAACATTAGTAGGCACAAAAGTTGACAAACAAAAAAAAAAAAAAAAAAAAAAAAAAATGAAGACAAAAAGAAAATCCAATCCATTTATATACATAATATACATTTAGATATATGTATAACAGATAAATGTGTTACTTTGTTGTTTGATTCGTTTGTCTTTTGTCGACTTAATTTTATATAAAAAAAAAAAAAAATAAAAATAAAAAACGCCAAATGTTAATAAATGAAGAGAGAAATGTCAAGAGTAAAAAACAAATTCTTTCGAAAGAGAACTTATGGCGAATTCAAATTACAATAGAAACAGGCTTACAACGAACTTTTGATACCCACATTATCGCACCTATTCATATAGCGAGCGTGAAATTCATTTAAATTTGCAAAGATTTAGCTTGAAAAGCTGCAAGTACATGAATGAATTTATTTTACAGTTACAGGGAAAAAGTTTTTATTTGTCTTTGATATTAATTGATTGATAGGATTGCAATGCAAAATTTTCACTTATCTACGTGTATGTAAAAGTGTAGATAACCTCATCGGATTTAAATTCTTTTCATATATATACAATATACTCTCGATTCGATTTACCTAAATTTGAAAATAATCAAATTTATTTAAAAGGTATATTCTTCTAATTGAAATAGTTATATATATATATATATATATATATATATAAGGAAAAAAAAAAAAAGAAGAATGTAGATCAACAATTAAACAAAATCGGCAACATTTCATATCGATCGAGGGAGTTACAAATCAACTACATTATAATGATTTATTGTAACAGTAGTAGTAACAGTAATAGTGCGAATGCACTGACTGTGATTTCATTCATTTCGTCAAATGTTTTCACTTAAACTCGTGCGCGTTTACATTACATTCACATCATTAAGTGGTTAATTTCATTCTACTTATATATCGTTTTTTATTTATATATAAACTCATATGGTAAATGATGAAAATAAAGAAAAATTAAAAAAAAAAAAATAAAATGATTGACTGCAACTCCACAATTTCGTTAGCGTTTTCATACAAGCATCATTTTGCTTTCTTCTCCATTATTTGTTACGGTCACTGTCAACTTCAATTTCATTTTTGAATTTCGTTTTTTTTTTTTTTTTTTTTTTTGGTATGAGCAAGCAGACAGTCACACCAATAGATACTGTATTACCGACGGCAAAACAAACTCTTTTTTTTTCAACTCTCATTAATTGAATTTTACTTAAGTAACAATTAATTGTCGGTTCATTTCATTTGATATCTTTTTGTATGACGAAATTACAATCGATAGAAATCTTTCCGGTAAACGCACTGTAAGACCCAATAGAATGCCCATCAGTTTTAAACAATTTGTACACAACTATCTGAGATGATAAATCTGATACTGAGATGACGAACTTAAACGGAATTTTCATTTAATGTTCCTACATGCAGTGGTGTGGCTTTTTGTGTGAACTCTTTAAGTCCAATGCTTGGATAATACAATTTTTAATACACTCGCTGCAGCAATAAGCCTACACAATGTTCCATTCATTCGGTTCAATACATTGGAAGTACGTGCTTGCAAGAGATTGTTTCGGTACCCAAGTAATTGTTATGGTAAGCAATTCATTGCACAACATAGGAATTAATTCCTAGAAAAAAAATCGAACAGTGTATGGATCTGTGATCAGTGCGGATAGCGAGATCTGCTTAAACTTGCCCAATAAGCAATTTCCCCATCCGCTGATTAAAATTGAAACGAACTCTACAATATTTTATTTACGCTGTTGAGTTTAGTTAAACACGCTTAACGACTTATAATTACATCTAGTGAGGACATTATAGTCAGGCAACGCTGACCGTTACGTATATCCTACACCACTTTTACATTAAAGTCAGATAAGGGCGATCTGAGACATCCTACACACCACTTGTTTTGGCAATAAGGCAACAAACGAAATTACAATTTAATTTTCCGGCAAAGGCCCCCATATTGGAGGATGGTCAAAGTATCACATAACGTGAACCCAGTATAATTTCAGTTTCGATCATCGAAAATAAAGAAATTGCACTTTCTCTCCATATGAGGGCTTATGTATTATGATAATCCCTATGTATATTAGGGTCTAAAAGATAGATCTATCGGACCCAAATTGCCTATGAATCACGATTCCGTATCAATTTTTATCACAAAAGATTAGAGATTACATTTTTTTTCTTTGAAGAGTTTACTATTCACTCGAGATATCTTATATGGCGCGAGATTCTATGTGACTCAAATTTAGTCCGTCTAATTTTTAGGTGAAGCTACTAATATAAATAAATTTTCGTTATAAAACATTAACAATTAGGTCCTTTTGGCGTATAAAGGCTTACATTTCCCGTGACTTGTACATGCGTTGGTATTCAAAGAGTAGATCAACGTGGTCCATATTCGGTAAGGTTAATTTCTTTGTAAATTTGCTATTACGAACTAACTTTCACTATTCGAAACTACATCTTTTTACTATAGAAATATTCAGTTTTTATAGGAGCATTTATATGAGAAAGGCTTGAAAAAATTGCCACAACCGAAAGGAAATTTTCACAACATTTTAAAACATCGGAATATTAGTACCCAGCGACTTTTGTCGAGAAATTTTGAAAATTGCAATTTTTTTTGTAATACAACGGCTTCTAAAAATAAGGCATGATATGAGAAGTGGCCGAAAGAGCAGGAAGATCCCGGACCATCCTAGTTCAAACTTCATCAAAATATCTCAAAACATTGCAATCTGTAGACATTAAACGGAGAGACAGACAGCCAGACAAGCAGCCAAGTTTAGGTAAATTCTCGAAAATGATTCGGAATCGATCGATTTAATAAAAGGCAGATTTACCCTAAGCACTTGTGGGCGTTAAATGCGTCGTCGCGAACTCGCAATATAGTAGTAGTAGTAGTGTAGAGTATAAAAAGAAAATCTATGTATAAAGAACTAAAGAGAGACTGTTTTTATATAGTTTCCAGTTCTTATCTTCACTTATTCTTGGTGTGTCTTCATATATTCATTCGCAGGTTCAAGATGCAGGTTTTATATCTTATATTCATTCTATTATAATTTATTTATTTATGAAAGTTTTAAATATATATTTTCTGCCCAGTTAACTGAACGAAATGAGTGCTACAAATACTGCGATGTAATAAATGCATGCATATCAACTCGTTAATGATGTTACATTAGTTATAAACATTTATATATGCATGTGTATATTTATGTGTGTGTGTGTGTGTGTGTGTGTGTGTGTGTGTGTGTGTTATTTGCTTCTAAAACATTACGTCTCTAGGCATAGTTTATCGTATATGATTTTTTATTATATATGTATATATATATATATGCAAACGTTTTCGTATTCATTGAAAAATGAATAAGAAGAAGAGAATACTTTTTAATTCTAATTTTGACGTTAGGAAGTAGAGTGCTTTAAATTTTAATTAACGGTTGTCTATATTTTGCACCTACCACACTCTGAATATTTTCTTGCAAAAAATTATACACAAAATTAATTGCCTTTGTTTCCGAGCTTTATAGAAACGTATGCAAATTGTGTTTTCAATTTCTCTTCGAATTGTGTTTTTAATTTTTCTTATTTTTATTTTTACACCTAATTACATATCAAAATTAATGCAAAATTGCAATAAAGTGTTTTTTTTTTTTCGTTTGATTAAAAAAAAAAAAGAAAATAATGTTTATATTATATTTTATTTTAGAGATTGATTTTTTTTTTTTTTTTTTTTTGCAAAATCAATGAAAGGCAAAAGTAGATTGAAATATTTTAATTAATATTAATTTGCAGTACAATTGCTTAAGACTTGTAACTTGATTTTAATTTCTGTAGACTGCTTGATAGGTACAATAAGTAAATTTTAATATCCCTATTCGAATAGGTTCGCGCGCTCTAACCGTTTGTTGCGAGATTGAGGTTATTATTATGCGGATGAAAAACAATAGAAGCACAATTGATTTTACTTTTTTTTTTCTTTTGAGAAAGAAAAATGTAACAAACTCCCCTGCTTCATTACAAATGTTTGCATTTCCTGATTTAACCAAAACGCAGATAAACATATGATATAATAGATGGGCGGGAAAGTTTTGTCGTGTTGTGTTACTACAAGCAGGGCAACCAGATAAAAAGCATCATATCGAATCTTCCTATTTAGTGTATTTAGTATGTACAAGCTCTCGTGGCCTAAAAAAAAAAGAAGAGCATTTTCGATGCTCTTCGCTGGGTGTGTGAAATGCATTGAATACAGCAAATTTAGGACATTGTGTGGCATGGCACTGCCAAAAATTGTCTGCCAAAGCAGATCCAGCCGATACTCAGCATGAACCATACGATAGCTAGAGAGCATATTCAATATATTTTCAAATTGAAAAGTTTGATGTAAAATACGAAATTTCCCGCCAATCAAATGTGTTACTACGGCCCTACAATGCCTCAGAATATGCTAATTGTATCAACCTGTTTACGACTCTTAGAAATTGTCATTAAAGACTTCAGAAAATTTATATGCTATGAATAGCTTTGAATGTTTGACGTCCTTATCGGACTACGATGGGTCTTTGAACTGCAATTTTCTTCTTTCTATTATATGACCAATCACTCAGGGGGATGTGTGTATCGCGTAACGCGGTATCGCTCAAGAAGAACGCTCAGGAAAGAGAAAGAAAGACAGGAATAGGAAGGTGTTGGCCGCAGCCTAGTGGATACGTGCTCAATCGATAAGTGTGATAAGCCTTTCCCGACTGAGTATTCACTGTAGCTATCACCAAACGTCATTATCTGTATATACGGCCTATGTTTATACAAAGCTCGTTTGGTTTTTCAAGCGAATAAATGAATTTAAACCATAAATAAAAACAAGTGAAAGAAACATTGTAGTGAGCCAGGGTCCACAGTTAAATATCCTACGTCACCTTGTTTAATACAATTATTAATATGAGGCGTTATATGAGAAGTGATCAATTCAGAAAGTGATTCCCTA